CTCTTTCGAAAAGGTTACTTGTCGTACGTTACACGAGGTTTAGAATTTTGGAGCGACAGAGTCGCAAACTTCCGAACACAACAATATCTTTGATCTACTTATAGTATAAAATTTTTTCTTGATATCTATATAAACTAATAGCCTTAACTGCATCAAAAAAATAACCTAGACATCAAAATTTATCCATTTTAGCGTAAAATTTCGGGAAATTGCTTTATGCGTAATTAGTAATTTTGAACACATGACATGGAGTTTCAACTCGGATCGTATATTCAAATACAAGAGAGATCGTTGATGTTATACAACTAGTGTGCAACACGTAAAATAATTATTTTACCGATCCTCTAGCCGTTATTGATTATAATAAAACAGGTGTTGGATTATAATCATAACATGTACTAGCGGAGTTGTCTGGTATTGCAAATAATTATTTTACGCGTTGCACACCAGGTGTCGGATTAGTTGTATAAAATCAACAGTCTCCGTTGTTATATTCAACCCGAATTTTTGTAAATCTCAAATGATTGTACAACCCAACTTCAGAGATCCCCCTGGTTTAAGTGTGATTATGTCACACAGCTACCTTATTTTGGGATCGGCTAAAGCCTGGTGCATCACGAACTCACACGATATGTAACCCGGACAGAACGACAAGAACAAAAACACGAACAATATAAAAAAATGGCAGCCTTAACTAGTCTTCATGCACTAGGTAACGTGTCGGAAATACGATTATACTAAATATAATAAATTTCCCACTATACCAAATTTAACCCTAACCCTAATATTAAATCGGGTTTAATTAAAATTCGGAAAATCGAGTAATTTTATGATGCACCAGGCTTTAGTCGATCTCTTATTTGGGGAATGGACTAAGAAAACCACTGCATCGGAATGAGTTAATCTGGACCGCATCCAATGTGTTGGTTACATGAAATATTATCATGTGACTAGCATTTTTAGGCAGTATTAGCCATAACAAGAAAACCATACTAAGCTATAATAAGCTACACTACATATTAAGCTTATACTAAGCTATACTAAGCAGTGTAAACATAATAAAAATAAAAATAGAAACTAAAACAATTGAGAAAAGATTATTTTTCATTTCAGGGAATTATTGACTAGCGCAGGTTAATCAACGTGTGAACTAAACTTTTGTAATATAGGCTGAGAAAAAATTTATTAGAATGATGATTGAAATTTAAACTTTTTAGTAATTTGGCTCGTTGTTGAACAACTGGGGGTAATGTGCTACAAATAAATTGCATGACAGTCGTCAAAACTATTCAAACTTAATTCGTCGAAATATAAATAATCATTTTATAAAAATTTCTGTTAGTCACATTATTATTGAAGCATTGAACATCCAAGTTTTTAGTATATAGATAAAAGCTGACTAAGTATTACTTAAAAATTTAATTAGCATAATTACGAATTACGAATTATAGAATTAGGGATTCAGATACATATTTCATAACTAGCATTAAAAAATAAAATCATGTTAACAGTTAATAAAAGTCAATAAATTTCTATCTGATATAATTTAGTTACGTATATATATGTAAATAAGTTGCTATAAAATAATTAATAACAAATATACGCTTAATGATTTATAAGCTTTCTCTAAGGCAAGCATTACACGCACAAGGCAGTCAGATTATGTGCTGCAAAATGCAAAATACTGTATATTACAATTGACAGTATCTATTTAATTTAAGATAACGATTTATACTTATTAAATATTACATTTATTTATTACGCATAATCCCACGGAATTAAAAGAAAAAAAAAAGGTTGAACATTGTTTGTTAGATATTACTAACAAATTATTAACAAATTACTAATAAATTCCTGGAATAATATTCTCACAACCAACAGTGCTTCTACCAGTAGGACAATCATCTTTTGCAGTAGGGCCGTTGCAACAACGAATGCAGAAGCGACCAACACCAGGTTCTGTTTGGCCTTGGACGTTAGGCTCGACAAGATTCACAAACCTTTCATATCCATGACAAGACGCACCGGGAGGAGCATTAATGTCATATTGACCACCACCGTCAGTTGGGACTACGTATACATTTGAATTAATGGTTCCAGTGATTTGGACATAATTATCAGTTTTTAGAAAATTCATTGTTCGGATGAGGCCAGATGGGAATAAACCGGCATTAGGAGCATCGACGGTTGCTACGGAGCAGAATGCAATAGCATCACCTTCACTTGCACCAATCCCTGTATTAGGTGCTCGTGGTAAAAAACTACAGAATACATTTGGACTTTCTACGGTGACAACTATCGGATCGCCTGGGGCGCGAATATGTAATTTGTTTACGTCCACAGCGACGGCATGAACATATGTAATAACTACGAGGATAAAAATTAATATAGATAATTTCTCCATTTTTATTGAGAAAAAAATTTTTTTTTTCTTTTGAGATTATGAGAATAAATTCTGGTTTTTTTTTGAGATTATGAGAATAAATTTCTGGTTTTTTTTTTTTTTGAGATTATGAGAATAAATTTCTGGTTTATTTTTGTTTTTTTTTTGGAGGAATGAATCGAGAGAATTGAGTATTTATATATAAAAAAAAATTAAACATCCAAGATTTACAAGTGTTTTTAACGTTAAACGGAAATTTTATATTCATGAGAATCATTACCTTATATGGAAATAATCAACATTCTTTAGAAAAAAAATGCATTAATTTACTCATCACCCAATTTGGTTATCGTTATTGTTTATATTTTTTTGAAAAAAATAACGTCAGTTAGGGTTAGGACAGGGGCAACGATGAAAATATAGTAAGTATAGATAAAATGTATTTTTTACTAAACAATTCATAATTCGTGAGAAATTTTTTTTATATAAAGTTTTTAATATTAATATATTACATACATTATATACAATTGATAGAACCGACGTTGGTTGGTTGTTGGATAAATAGATGTCTCATACATTATTTACTACGTATTAAGTACGTATTAAGTATGTATTAAGTACGTATTTAGCAAATCATAAACATTATCCAATAATAATTCTGTTATCTTGGTTTCCGAAAAGGCTAACCATATATATTTCATTCTAACATATGTAAGTACATATTAAATATATTAAATCTATTTATAACCTCGTAGATCATCATATTAAAGAACCGTTCCGAGATTTTCTAGGATGACAGCTCGTCCGCCTATTTATTCGAATATTAATGAGTTCTATTCGATTACATTAATATAATTACAATATACATATATATAAACCTTCTGTTTTCATTTTCCAAAAATAGTGCAAAAAAATAATATAAGCCGTACATACGTAGATTAAAATTCGATGACTTTGATTTTCAACCATTCGAAAAATGTAAGTCCAAAAATGTGACAATAACATAATTAACATGATATAGAAATTATGCACCATGTGGAATCTAAAAAGAGATTTTCACAGCTGCATGCCATGCACTAAAATTAGGGGCAGGGTTTGTTTGAGGCTATGATTTCGTAAGTGTCATAAATAAAATTAACTTGTCGTTTCTTACTGACGATTAATACCTTCGAAATGTTGGTCATTTTTTGTATTTTCCACTTTTTACTTTGTCAATTGATTAATCATAGTTTGATTGGTCGACCTATCTGACTTAATGAAAATCTTCCCAACGTAGCGAACAAAGCACCTAGAAATTTCAGGAACGTAATAATCGAGAAATTCCTTGAAGTCCAGTTAATAACACTTTCATAATACATTAGATTAGATACTCAAAGATACCTTTTTGTATCAGTGTACGGAAGTAATCTCTCTGAAAAATAAACGATCTAATTTTTTTAAAAAAATTTTGATTTGAATTTTTCTAATATTATTTCAACTATGTGATAATTAACATCACATAACTAAATGCTGTTCGTATGTAAGTACTTACGTACCTTATGGTAGATAGTTAATTATGATTATAATGATATCGTTCAGTAAGCATATGAATTTTAACTACGATAAGGATTTTTTATCTTGTCACGTGCATTTATAATATGAGTATCTTCGGCGTTGTTCTCAACTCTTGAGTAGCTATGTTACCCAAACTATTTGGGACGTCCCAAATTACGTGATCAATAATATCATATGAGGTATTTTCTCCTTAATGTTATTGCTGAAATCGTGTGATGCTGTTAATCACATAGTTTTGGATGTCCAAAATAGTTTGGGCAACCTCGCTATTCATGAGATATTAATAGAATCACGATTTACAAGGGTGTGGGCAAAAAAAATAATAAAAATTTGTGGGAAAATCCACGGTTAAATTTCTCCAGCGATCAATTCAAATATTTTAATTGAATAGTGCTAAAAAAAAAATGGTTTAAGATAAACTTCTAATATTAAACTGATATATTTCTAATATATTTTTAATAATTAAATTAACACAATTTTGGTTAAGCAGTGATAAATTTCTAAAATTAGGATTTTATCTGTATTAATAAATAAAGTTCTGGAATTTAAATATACATACTAACTCGGTGCATCGAACTAGCTCGGTATTTTGAATGCTTGCTTTTAAAAATTTCAATTTTTTGCTTTAATTCACATTACTTATTTATTTAATTACTATTTTTATTTTCATTTGCATTAATGATTCATTTAAATCTATTTTTATCTAAATAATTCCTTATACCGCATTGCCAATTCGTCTGCAAATCACAATTCATTTTAGGCTATATTATAATACAAGACGTTCTAATGGATAGAAAACATGAAAGTTGGATAATCTATGAAAATCAAAAGGAGTCATATTAAACTGAGCTATCTTTAAAAAAAATCATGAGGTATCCATTTATCTTTATTTCCACTCTTACGATTCATCGATCGTCTGAACTGAATGGTCTATAAATAATGTTCAAAATTTTATTGGTTATATTTCTAATTGACTTTATTGACAATTTAAAGTCATATGAAGACAATATAATATTGTATACTGTAATGTAAATCAATTCTTCAATTTCTTTAATCCCCGTAGATTATTTATTTTAAATTGACAATAGAATTTTCATATGATTTTCTATCATTTTATGATTCCGAGAAAAAACTAACTGTTGGTATTTACATCATAGACTCAAACCCTGAAAAATCTGATTTGCGATTGTGTAAGAGCAGAGAGCAAAATTATTCGCACTTAAAGATTAACGTGATACGCGCAAAATGTTTATATGTTTTAATATTATGGACGAAATTCGTACATTAAGTTTTTTTTACATTCATTTATTTTTTAAGTTTTGATGTGCACTGTATTTGTTGGATAATAATATATGTTATAAATATATTTATCATGTCGTAACAAAAATCTATTGGCCAAAAAGAATAAAGCTTTTCAATACATTTATTGATAAATTTTCTTAATTCGTAATTTCACATGTATATTTTAAAACTAAATACAAAATATGTACTATGATCTATATGTAGTTTATGATCTTTTCACAATCTTGATGAATGTTAAATACTGTTAACAATATTATACATACAACGCGAGCTTTAAAATTGTGTCAAACCTAGAGACACAAACATAATACTGTAAACTTGCTATAATTATAATAGATTATAACATTTTAGCCATAACTTATAACATCATACATCATGACCAGACTGTAATAAGTAAAGTCTGTTCTACTGGGCAAATAAATTTTAATTATAAGAACCTTCTTATTTATACAACCCATGTAAAATAACCTATATGCTCACTAATCAAGTGAATAAAATGCCAAGTATTTATAACTTTAATAATTTTATGTATTAAATTTAACACGAATAAAATGGAACTAAAGGCTTGTTTAAATGTATGATTAAAAAAAGTTACTAATACTTAATGCATTAAATCAACACAAATAAAAATGGAATTAATGGATAAAAAGTTATTAGCTTATTTAAATGCTTGAATTTATAAATCCTCGTTATACACACTAAATTATTGCAAATTAATTAATATCAAATATTAAATACTACTGAATTTAACGATTCATTCTAAGCGCTTTCTTGACTAACCAAAGTTCTTTATACTCACAACTAAGTTAATTTGCGCAAATGAAATTAAATAATAAATCTCAAATAAGTTCAATAGTCTACTCAAATAGTTCTGAAATATTTGAACTAATCCCCCGATCACTATATCAAGATCACGGGAGGATTAATTAATAATACCCTGACCGTATGTGAATAAGCGGAAACTTCGTTTCCGCTAATTCCCAACGGATCAGGATATTATTATTACTAATAAACGCTCTTGATACATATCACGAATTAAATTATTAACATGAATTAAATAGTAAGGATTCAATGAAGTTTAATAATAGTTTAATATTTAGATTAATAAATGTTGCTGATGCTTACGCACTAAACAAATGCAAATAAACTGAAATTAAATAATAGTATTCTTGCTAATTTTAGGTGCTCGAATAAATTCTATTACGCACTAAATTGACACGAGTGAATGAAATTAGAATTGACACGAGTGAATGAAGTTAGAATTGCCACGAGTGAATGAAGTTAGTTATGAAATTAAATGGCTTATTTTAAATTCTCAAATTAACAAAAATTCTTCAGACTCAATACACTAAATCACATGAATAAAATGATGTCAATTAGAAATATTCAAAATTTATATGAATGCGAAAAGCGATAATTCAAAATAGATGAAATACAGATAGAACCGTGAATAAAACATGCAAGTTTTATATTACAGGTATTTTTAGATTTGTGCATAATAGCTATTCGCAGATGATATCAATAAAGTAAACCATCGCTCTATATTTGGACAAATCCAAATCAAGCAAATGCGAAAACGAACCGGATAGTTCAACAAAATGGAAACATACTGCCTCTGGGGTGATTCAGAATTAATGATCAGTAGAGTGGGAATCGAAAATTTTTAATTTTTTTTTTTAAATATATCAACAAATAGACGTCCTCCACGCGTGTCAATGTGACAAACCAAATTTGAATCATTGAGTCATGTAAGCACCGTAATCAGCAAGATATTGTATAATGCGTAATCGAAAGTATAAAATAAATGATAATGAAATTTATTTTGTCAGAATTCATATGTAACTTGAATTAGACTGAACTTGATATACTTCAAAAAAGAAATCCATTTATATATAATCGTTATACTTAATCCTCCTAGCATCCAGCATAACCGCCAAAAACTACTACGTAATTAAAATCAGATCGTTATAATTATTAGACTAACCACCCAAATCAGTTACGTACGGATTTACTTAAATACATATAATTTAATGATAAAATTTTCATAAAATCACCTGAAAATTTGTATTTTTACGAAACTGATTTGGGTGGTTATGCTTGAGTGTTTTAATTTATTGACTAAAATAAGGATACAATTAAGAAATGACATAAAGTGTGGGTACTTT